ATACTATCTTATAATTATGACTTAGCTATCTCATAATTATGAGATACTATCTCATAATTATGAGATAGCTATCTCATAATTATGAGATAGCTAAGTCATAATTATGATATACAAGTTTTATTTTTTTATCAGGGTGGCGGAAATGGGCTTCCATACATATTTGATATGATTGTTACCACAGATAAGATTAAAAGATATCACATTACAATGGGGGGAGGGGTCTCCTTTTCAATTATTAATAAGTTATTCATAACACTTTTGTAATAAACCTCTAATAGGAAGTTATGTTCCATACAACAGAAAATACTATCTTGTTTTTGACAAATAGTGAGCCAACATTTATCTGTACTCTCTCACCTTGATTCTTAAGATTTTACCCACACTTACACTCAAATTCTCTTAAAAGAATAGCTACTTGTAGATTATGATGGTTATTTTATTTTATTTATTTTATTTTTGCATTTGGGTCATGCAAGGGTTAAGTACATAAATAAATAAATAAATAAACACTCGAGCACACGGCCGATGATTTCCGACAGCTGATGACATCAAACGCCATCAAACATTTGTCAGTAAGCCCCGTGCATGTGAGCACTATGAGCATGCAGTTTGTTTTGGCATGCAGTTATTTAGTTTAAAAAAAAAATAAAAAATGAATAATAAAGAAAACAATTTACATTTACTTGATTAAAAACATTATCGATCATGTCAAATGCTGAATACAGTCAGAGCCACTTCAATACATTAATTTTATACATATTTAATAATTCTTTATGTGTTTACAAAATCATGATTAAATCTCTTAAATCTTTTATACCTGTTTTATAAAAGCTTAATAATGCTTAATATCATAGTTACAAATACTTATGAAGCATTAATAAAGCAATAATTTTATTTAAAAAATAAAGGCTTAAAAATGTTTACAAACTCGTGGTTAACTTGCTTATAAAGCAATAAATCCTTAACAAATGGACCCGTATTTTACTAAAATATGTAACAGCCCTAACTCCTCTGTAAGTTTTCTCTTTTTCTTTAATAATATTGTTTGTTTATAAATACAATTTGAACTTCATATATCTTAAATGAATAAATATTCAAAAAAAGTAGAAATTTGTAAGTCAGGAGTTCACAAACCGTCCTCTAAGTTAAGTTATATGTTTGTTTTTTTCGTTTTTTTTTTTTCAAGGCCAAAAATAAATTGCTCTGCATAACTGCTGCTTTCGGTTTGCACAGCAGGCAAATTGGTCATTGTGCGAGTTTTTAAAAAAAAGGAAGTAAAAAGAACTAAAATGCTAAGGAAGTTGTTGAAATGAGGAAGCTCTTGCCCACGTCGCACACAGACTGAAGGTTAATCTGTCTCAGCTGGACAGCACAGCCAACACCACCTGTGAGTGCTTTACTGCTTTTACTTGCTTTATGTTGGGGATTTCATGGATTTAATGTTTATTTTATTTTATTTTTATTGAAGCTGTATTCATTTTCTTATGCTACTGACTTGTTCATGCTGTTTGTATGCTGGTGGCTGATAAACTGAACAGAATGTAATTAGATCTAACTAACGAACATCTAACTTTAAATCCATTTATACAATAAATGCTGTGTAACAGTAGGTAACTGTGACGAGTTTAAAATATTCTATCACTGTGATGACTTGCTTTAAAAAACATGATGTAATAATTTACTTTAATTCACTGCTGCTGTTCTTTCTAGAAATATTATAATTTAGGCAGCTTAAAAAGCATTTTATGTTTTATTGCAGTCCTAATTTACTAGGTGTGTTTCTTTCTTTAAGTTTTTAAAGGTTTAACAGTTTTAGCAAAATAATAATAATTTAGACAGATCTTTAAAATGTGAAAAGTGATCAAATATATTATAGTAAGTCACAAAAATGAATTAAAAGCAGCATCTTCAAGACATTGAGATTTTCTTTGTTCCATTGAGTTTTCCTCTTAAATCTCTACAAAGAATAATAGTTTTAATCCAAGATATAGTTCCACTTTAATGCATTCTAGAGTTTACATCATTTCTTGTAATTACTGTACGTACTTTCATCAGATATTTGTTGTGACTCCACCTGAGCTCCTTCAACTTCTGTTATAAGCCTTTAGCTTAATTTTACTTCACATTATTTGTTGTTTTGTCCTAGTACAGAAACATATAAGTCCTCTTTGCAGTTGTTGATTATTTTTATGATGGAGAAATAAAACTTAAATTAAACAAAGACTTTCCTTTTGATGAGATGAGAATGGATGGAGTTTTAGCCATTTTGATCAAACGGAGAATTCACAGCACACAAGCTTATACTGTTAAGGTCTTCTGAGATCTTCTAATGCTTGGAGTATGGAGGGTGACTTTCATCTACAGCTACATTAAACCTCAGCTCAGTATCTGTGGAAATGACTGAGTTATAACCATTTTGGAGTTGGCTAATATTGATTAGCCGCAGTGGCCATCTTGAATTGTGTCGACTCCAAAAGTTTATGAGATGTAGATGTAAAATCAACTTATGTTTGGTGGGTTTTTATTAAAATTTGGTTCATGAGATATTTTGCTTACTTGACATCCAGATGAACACGCAATTTGTGCTTGTTATTGCGTGCCGCTGAAGGTGATAATGTTTTTGCTTGTGAGTGTGTATTTGTGTGTGTGTGTGTGGAAGTGGGTTGGTTGGATGTGAATCTAAGCAAACTTAGCAAACACAAAAATGGCTATAAAACAGCCAGTTTTACAAATCTGAGAGTCAACCCCAACGCACACTGCAAGCACTAACAGATTGTGCAAAAAGTGTTTATAAGAATTTGCGCTTAGCTTTTGGTTTCAAATCTCCTTGTCAGTTAGCAAAATATCTCATAAACCACTGAATCGATTTTGAAAAAATGAAAAGTTTGAAAAGGACTTACTGGGTGTACGTTAACTTTTAAAGTTTTGTATTTCATGATCAAGTGTAATAGTAAGTAAGTAAAGTTTTGTTTATATAGCGCCTTTCACAGAAATAAATTCACAAGGTGCTGTACATTCAGGGAAGGGGGAGGGGCCAGTTAAGAAACACCCATTCAAGAAGACATACAAGGCAAACATGGGAGAACAGGTGAAACATGTCATGCAGCAAACACAGTTGCGCTACCTTTAACAACAGAAAAACTAAAAACCACATAAGGGAAGATGAGGGAAAAAAAACGTCGTATTATATCAACAATGTGACACACTATGGTGTTTATTTTAAAAAAAACCTCTGCATAGAGCACATTTAATTAGCCAGAGGAGTAAGTGAGTTTAGGGGGCGTGTATCTGAAGCCATGAGTGTTGTATGCTTGTGTGAATATCTGAAGAATGAGCTCGAGGAATCCAGTCGCCAAAACCAGCACAGCCATAGTTCAGAATATTGATGTTAACTGTTCATTCTGTGCAGCCTTCGGCTTGCTCCAGGAACCAGTAGCACTAATAGTTTCTGCTGCGTGCTACTTCCACAAGATGTAAGCAGTTTCTGTCAAAGTCTGTCATCCACAATGTCTTCTGTTGGAAATGTCCATTTACGACTCTGCATTATATTTATTTTGCAGTATAACATTTGTTCAGTGCCTGCCCGTTGACATTGGAATAAAATCTAAAAAATCTTGTGTCCACAAGATAATAATGCATGGCCATGACTTCATATTGTGTGGCCACATGATAATTTTGAGCAGCCTTCTGAGAGATACAGACATTATTGGAGTTAGATTAAATATAACCTACATTGTTTTGTGTTTAACTACGGAGCCCGCAAGGAGACATGAGGGGATTTTTCTTTTCTTGCGTTCCCTTGCAAAAGTTTGCATTCGCTCGCAATATTGTTTTTCATTCCCACACAAAAGTTTAATGTTTTGCATTTGTATTGAGTGATGATTGGTTTGAAATGTCCTATTACCAAAACAGGATGTGTCACCACAAATTGGGGAAATCGACGGTGAAGTTGCGTAGCTGCGCAGAGTTAAAACACCTGCTACATATATAACTCCTATATATATATATATATAACTGTGACACATTCATTCCAAAGTTGATTAAAAAGACTAACTCCCATATAACGGTGAGCATGTGAATTTGTTAATAAACTGGCAGACACAATAAATAACTGATGGTGGTCAGAGGGTTCGGTGGTGCATGGCAGCCCCACCTCTGTCAGTGCGCCCCAGGGGAGTTGTGGGCTTACCATCATCAGTGTGTGAATGGGTGAATGTCTGAAGTGTAAAGTGCTTTGGGGTTTAGAGGGACTTGATAAAGTGAAGTTCAGTTCAGTCCATTTACTATATAGGATTTTTTCGGAGGAACGCAGAAAGTATTGTGAGGTATCGCAAAAGAGAATATATCCCTCCATGTCTGCTTAAGGCATTATATTAAGGCATATTTAACTATTTGAATTTGCACACGTAATATTATTATTATTATTATTATTATTATTATTATTATTATTATTATTATTATTATTATTATTATTATTATTATTATTATTATTATTTGGTGTATGTTCCTATAAATGGTTCATATTTTATAGTACGCTATTTATGAAATGACAGGTGTGTGTCAGGAAACTTTTTTATTTACTGTGTTCCTGAATGCAACATAACTCCGACTCCTGCAGCTTCAAAGGCTCGGTGTGAGAGAAGAGCCTGTTTAGAGTGTTGAGCTTAAAAAAAATAACGCTTTTTGGATAAAGACAACTCCAGTTGTCACCTGTGTCTTATAGCTGCAACATATAATGTTAAGAATTACTTCATGCCAAACCACAAGTGACTGAAGTATGTCACTAATTTTTATATTAATATAAAATGCAATTAATTCAGACGGTCCATGAAAACAATCAACAGTCTCTGCATGGATGTGACTGAGTTAATCTCATGGCTATGACGACATAAGCGTGGTCACAAGATAAATTTGTCACTTGACGGGCACTGTATAAATGTATAAATGAGATCTGTAGAGATCTAATTTTTTAATATGTTTTTGGTTTTGTTCCATTCCAGATTGATTTTATCCTGGAGGAGTGACCAGACGTCTAAGAGGCAGCTGCCTTTTAACAAAAACTCAACATGGCTGACAGTGTGAATGCGTTGCCATTCTTTTATGGCAACATCACCAGGGAAGAGGCAGAGGGCTACCTGCGGCAGACAGGCTTGAGTAATGGTCTGTATCTGTTACGGCAAAGTCGAAATTATCTCGGAGGCTTTGCACTGTCAGTTTCCCACACAGGCCGTATCTACCACTACACAATTGAAAGAAAACCCAATGAAACGTATGCTATTGCTGGTGGGAAGAGCCACCGAACCCCCATGGATGTGATCGACTACCATTCCCAGGAGATGGATGGTCTCGTAAGTCTGCTGAAGAAACCCTGCAATCGGCCCAAGAACATGCAGCCAAAGGTGGGGCCATTTGAGGACTTGAAGGAGAAACTTATCCGGGAGTACGTGATGCAGACCTGGAACCTGCAGGTTAGTTCAGCTCTGACCTTTTATTAGGATTTATTAGGAATCTTCTCCTTTCATCTGTTTCTTTGAAGGTTCCCCACAGAATCCAAACATCCTCCTCTACACCAATGCTCTGAATATCCTCCTTCACGACATCCATGACACGTCTCTGTTGTCCTCTTTGTCTGCACCTTATTTAATATGCTATGTACAGAATATCCACCACAATCTCAGACGCTCTAACTTTGTCTTCAAAACACTGAGCCTGAATTGTACCTCTCATATAAAAATATATCATGAATAGAAGAATTTTAACGGAAAAATTCAGGACGTTTTATTTAAAGGGCCTATATTATGTGTTTCTCAGGCATATATTTAAATATTATACCATAATAAAGTATCTATGTCACCTTTAGTTGTTATTAAAATGCTGTTTTTATGTTTAAATTGAAAA